CCTTTAAAGAAAGATTTTTCCTTGCATTCCCCGTCTAAAAACTAGGCACGTCTTATGGTCAGGTGCGTCTTATGGAGCGAAAAATACGGTACATCCCAGCTGCAAAAGAGTCATTCTTACAGCTCAAGGCCACATTCCCGCCAGGTAAAAGCACCTAAGCTATTTTAGGGCAAAGCAGGTCCAGGCTTAAACGCGGCTGGGAGAAATCCCCGAAGGCTGGATAGAGAGGACTGTCAGGCCACATTTGGGTCTTCTTGCTAGAAGAAAGGCTATAAAAAGTGACTTCAGTGGTCTTGAGGTTAAGGACATAAGAAGAGCCTGCTGGATCAGGCCAGTGGCCCATCTAGCCCAGCATCCTGTTCTCACAGTGGCCAACTAGGTGCCTGTGGGAAACCCACAAGCTGGATTCGAGCACAAGGCCATCTCTCCCCTTCCTAAAGTTTGCAGCAACTGGGGTTCAGAAACATGACTGCCTCCAACTGTGGAAGCAGAACATAACCATCGTAGCTAGTAGATTTCAATGAATTTGTCTGATACTCTTTTCGGGACATCTAGGTTGGTGGGCATCACTGGCCCTGTGGGAGCGACTTTCATAGTTTAACTACTTTATTTCATAAGATTTACACGCCACTTGATTGTAAGGGGGGGAGGGCTTCAAAGCATTGTACGAAAAGATAAAACAAGGAAATTATCAAGGAAAAAAATCACAAGCATCGTTTAAAAACATAGAAAAAGTTAGAATACTGAAACACGTTACAATTCACATCCCCTTTCTATTATTATTATTATTATTATTATTATTATTATTATTATTATTATTATTAGTATTATTATTATAATACTAATAATAATAATAATAAAAATCACAGTATAAAAACAAAAAATGTGTGATAGAAACAAAAAAACAACCCAATAAACAATAACCCAATCAGCATCTGGGTAAGTTTGTGTAAACACAAATGTTTTTTAGCAGGCACCAAAAAGCACACACTGAAGGCACCTGCTTGGTATCAATAGGCAGGGAGTTCCAAAGTGTAGATGCTGCCGCACAATATGATTATGCTCTTACAAATGCAGAACAGGTATTATGTGGCACCTGTCGTACCACCAATTCTGCCGATCAAAGTGATTGAATGCAGTAAGGCAATCTCAATGGTAAACTGGTCCCAAGCTGTTAAGGGCTTTAGACACTAATCGTCACACCTTGAACTTGGCCCAGTGGCAAATGAGCAACCAGCGCAGTTCTCTCAGCACAGATGTTATATGCTGGCAAGGCCTCACTCCTGTCAGCAATCATGCGGCAGCATTCTGCACTAACTGCAGCTTCCGGATCAAGCGTAAGGGAAGCCCCACCCAGAGCACATTGCAGTAACTCAGTCTTGGAGTAACCAGTGCATGAACTACCATGGCAAGGCTTTCCTGGCCCACAAATGGCCGTAGCTGTCAAACCATTTGCAGCTGTTAAAAGGCACTCCTAGCTTCTGAACCTCCAACGACAGAGCTCTGTTCTGCTCATTACAGCTGTTGTCATGCTGGGTTTAAAGGTTTTGGCTGCTGTGCTGTGTACAGTCTAGGACAGAGATTCCCAAACTTACTGCACCCCCCTTTAAAAATAATAATTACTCAGCCCCCCCCCCGAAATCTACCTGCCAGCTCAGTCTGATCTACCCCAGGGGCATGGCTGGTGCCACAGCTCGCCTGCCATTGGCCAAATAGACAGGCAAGCTGTGACCCATTTCCTGGATGATACCAAAAAAGGTTCACCCAAGCCCGGGAAAACACTTTGCTTCCAGCACAAACGCTGAATCCAGCGGAGGCATTTCTGTCCTGCAATGGCGCCTGAACTGGTAGTAAGCGTCATTACACAACAGATTAAATATGAACAATTTTTCAAAATTTCCTTCTCTTTCTTTATACTTCCACCGCCCCCTTATTTTTATTCAGCGCCCCCTAATTGCACTACTACAAGGCTACTACTGCCCCCCTGGATCATTCCAGCTCCCCCCCCCGGGGGCGATATTGCCCACTTTGGGAAACACTGGTCTAGGAATGTCTCTTCCTCTGGTTTTGACCCCTTTCTCCCACTGGCGTTGCTAATCCCGAAATGAAAAACTATCCCCTGGCTTTCTCTGAAAAGTGGGTGTCATGGTAAGACAACCTCACCCACTCCCCACACTTTAAAAACTCCTCTTGCTCGCTGCTGCCTGGTTAATCCATGGTAGTTTTCCAGCTTTTTGGCACAGCTGCTGCTTCCGTGAGCCATTAGGAGGGACACAAGGGCCTAGAAAAGAATGTAGTGTCCTTCTTGACTGTTGGGCCCGCTGCTGGTGTCATCCGTTCAATCCTCCAGAGCCTGTCTTTGCATGCAGGGAAGTCCTTAACTCGCCAAAGTTTTAAGATGCATCAGTTTACCTTCACCTGGTTTAGCCGGTCTGTCGAAGCCGTTTCTGCGATGTGGCGGCTGTCGCACACTGACAGCTTTTAGGAGCCACAGGTGAGAGCAGGGTGGGGACCACAAAATAAATAAATAACAGCAGGTAAATTTAGAAGCAGTGCAAAGTAGACACCCATGGCAGAGACCTAAGCATCTAGTACAGTGGTACCTCTGGATGCGAACGGGATCCGTTCCGGAGCTCCGTTTGCATCCTGAAGCGAACGCAACCCACGTCTGTATGTGTGCAGGTTGCGATTCGCCGCTTCTGCGCATGCGCGTGACATCATTTTGAGCGTCTGCGCATGCGCAAGTGACGAAACCCGGAAGTAATGCATTCTGTTACTTCCGGGTCGCTGCGGAGCGCAACCTGAAAACGCTCAACCCGAAGCTACTTCAACCCGAGGTATGACTGTATTACTAATTTCCTGGGACAGGAGGATTATGATCTGTCATGTAGATACACCACCTGGAATTTCTTGTCCTTCTTTCTTCTGGCCAGCAGTCCTGGTGGAACAAGAAGACAGCGAGTGCCTCAGCCACAGCTTCCACACCCGGGTTGAACCTTCAACTCCTGGAGTCTTATCTCCACTAATGCCCCCTCTTGTTCTCACGGCACCCGCTCCTCTGCAACACCATCTCCCCCCTTTTTTTTTGGTCTCATCCCGCCCCTGCTTTCTTATTTCTATTCCCCATCTCTTTTTGTGGGACTCCATGGTAACAGCGCACAAAGGCATTTCACTCTCCCTGCACTCCACATCCTTGACGGAATCTCAGGCGCAGGTGGGCCGTGCAGTATGGCTAGGAAATCCAGCATCAACACCACCCTAAGAATTTTCTGATAATTATAAATGAATAAATCCCAGGCTCCTTCCAAATTGTTAGAGAATCTCAGGCGCCCCTGGAAAATATTTGACAATGGCCCTTCCAAAACTTTTTTTTTTTTGCCTGTGAGTAAGGTGGTCCAACTGTGGATCTATTATTTAATCTTGTTTTAATGTTTTCAAAGGAAAAAATGGGATTAGTCCCTGCTCCTTCCTGTCTTCATCTCCTGAAGGGCAGCGCATTGCGGATGGGAGAGAAAAGCCTAATTAAGCATATCAAGTTCTATACAGTGGTACCTTGGTTATCAAACTTAATCCGTTCCAGGAGTCCGTTCAACTCCTGGAACTGTTCAGAAAAACCAAGGCGCGGCTTCCAATTGGCTGCATCGGACATTCAGCTTCCAAAAAAAGTTTGCAAACCGGAACACTTACTTCCAGCTTTGCGGCATTTGGGAGCTGATTTCTTCAGGAGCCAAGCCATTTGAGAACCAAGGTACCACTGTAGATATAATAATAATACTAACAAAAAAAATATTATTTCCCCCCCGCCCCATCTGACTGGGTTGCCCCAACCACTGTGGGTGGCATCTAACGGATATAACAACATAATAAAACATCAAACATTAAACACTTTCCTATACAGGGTTGCCTTCAGATTTCTTCTAAAAGTCATAAAGTTTATTGTCTCCTTGACATCTGATGGGAGGGTGTCCCACAGGAACACCTACTGAGAAGGCCCTCTGCCTGGTTACCTGTAACTTCACTTCTCACAATGTGGGAACTGCCAGAAGGCCCTTGGAGCTGGACCTCAGGGTCATGCTGAGTGATATGGGTGGAGACACTCCTTCAGGTATATGGATCAGATATATCAAGATCTAGGTACACACACACATGTGCACGCATGCGCGCGCGCACACACACACAAACAAACAAACAAACAAACAAACAGTGTTTATAGCAACACTCTTTCCATGCTATTGTGAATGGCTGTGAGCCATCGGATGTGTTCCAGTTTACTCTTTTATATCTTCCTTCAAAGTGATATTGCTGGTGTTGATGTTGTACCTCCTCCAGTTTGCTTGCTTGGTGGCCCATGAGACTACCTGATGCATTAACTGTATAATGAGCTTTTGCATTGTTACCTGTCTGGAGTGTTCATCAGACATCACACTAGCAGGAGGTGTAGGGGAGGCCCTGCCTCTTGCTTGTCTTTAGCAGCAGTGACCTGAGATGAGTGGGAAGCAGTGGCCTTTCCTTCCTTTCCTTTCCTACTAGTATCATGCCTGGATATTAATGATGAAGCACTGAAAAAGAATGAAGGGGGAATTCCATGAACTGTTGATCAGACATCCCAGAAGACACTCTCGGGCCCTAAGGACCGAGTTTAATACCATGCGGTAATGTAGTGTCTTTGTCCAGAAACTATCCTCAAAGGCAACTTTTAGTATTTTTAGGTTCTGTCTCGAGCCTTCTCCAGTTCTAACCAATTTTTCATGAATCAGACATGGTCTGGGTCCATAATGATACATTTAAAGCACATGACTCCCCCCAAAATAATTCTGGGAACTGTCGCTTGATGTGGGCACTGGGAATTGTAGCTCTGCTGGGTGTGAACCACAAGATTGTTTGGTAGAAGCCATGTGCTTTAAATCTACTTTGAATGTCTGGTGCGGATGCCCCAAATACATTTTCCATTTAGTGTTCTCTGGATAACTGTTTTCTCCTTCTTCCTTGTCTTGCTCCAGGTGTTCACACTGAAGCCTTTTGAAATGAATGGTCTCCCCAAGGTGGTGCCTTTAAGTTTGCCTTATCAAGACTTTAAGAGGGATGTGTCAGAAAACAGGGAAAGGTCCAGAATTCTCCAGCATATAAAGAAGGTGGATTTCTCAAATGTTGTCTTAACTGCCCCTTGCAAACCACCGGCGGCCCATCTAGAAATGGCAAATGACAGATATGAGAAGGAGGAGGAGGAGGAAGAGGAGGAAGAAGAAGAAGAAGAGGAGGAGGAGGAGGAGGAGGAAGAAGATGATGATGACGAAGCTGGTGACTTAGGAGAAGAGCTTGATCTGCACAGCGACTCAAGCAGTGACGTGAGCCAGAAAAGTACTGAGCACAGTCAGGAAGGTGCCCCATCCACCCTCTTGGCTGATGACCAAAAGGAGTCCAAGGGCCGAGCCTCAGCAGCAGAAGGAGACTTGGAACTTGAAGAAGGCTCCAAAACATTGGTTCTCTTTTCGCCCGGTGACATCAAGAAGTCTCCCGTGAACGCAGACTTGGCTCCTGATGCCGATCTCGGCACTCTCGCTGCATTGACTCCACAGAGTGAGAAACCGCAGCCAATGGGAAGCCAGCTTGATGTATCGGAACCAGGGACCTTGTCCTCCATCCTTAAGTCAGAACCAAAGCCTCCTGTTACTGTGGCCACCACCTCGTCCCCTTTCACCAAAGTTGAGCGCACGTTTGTTCACATCGCAGAAAAGACCCATCTGAACATCATGTCTTCCGGTGGTCAGCTGATGAGGCACGAGGAATACCCTACTCCAGGGCAGTATGAAGAGATCATCATCGAGGAAGAGATGGAGGAAAATCAGGCACTTGTAGAAAACGGGAGCGTAAACTCGGCTCTGGAAGGGGGAGAGATGGAAAGCTGTGCTCTCTCGGTGAATCACATTGAAACCACCTCTGAAATTGTAGGGGAGCAGGCTGTGCTCCTCAATGGTGTTAGTAAAATGGAAGAAGACGACCTGGAACACAAAGGCACAATTGCCCCGGAATCAGATTTAGAAGAAGCTGATAAGATGGATACAGAAGAGCCTGGCCTTGAAAATAACACTCTTGCAATGGAATCCTTTAAGAAAATGGAACTCCCTCCAGATGTTCCGAAAGAGAGCCCCAGAAAGCTCCTCAGCGTCAGGTACAGAAGCCGGATCCCCGTTTTGCTCTCTGAAGAGGACACTGGCTCAGACCTTTCGGCCTCGCACTCCGGCAAAGAGAGGCTGTACAAGAGGCTGAAGCAGCAGGATTTGGCTCGCCTGGTGATGGAGAGGAGGCAGAACCGTCTGCTCAGGTTAGCTTCAGGTGCGTCATCCTCTGCGTCTTCCAGCGACGAGAGGCGGCGAGCTTCAGAAACACTCTCGGCCACTGGCTCCGAGGAGGACACCCACGACTCAGACGATTTCACCCCGAGGAAGACGGAGAGTCAGGAGAAATATTCCCTGGTTAAGATGGAAGAGAGAGGCTTGAGCACAAAGAGCAGAATCCCTCGCCCCATTGTGCCTGCAAAGCCGCCTGTAATAGAACTGAAATCCGGGAGCCCCTCAACTCTTCTGCCGCCAGCACTGAGTAGCAGCCCAGGTGACAAAGCTGTGACCAACAGGTGAGTCTGTATGAGAGGCCCTCGTTCCTTCTGAAGCCAAGAACTCACTATTTCAGTCAGCAAGATGCAGCTTTGTCACGCTGGCCACATGACCCGGAAGTGTCTCCGGACAGCGCTGGCCCCCGGCCTCTTAAGTGAGATGGGCGCACAACCCTAGAGTCTGTCAAGACTGGCCCGTACGGGCAGGGGTACCTTTACCTTTTACCTTAACTTCTCTAATCAGCTCCTCAGCTCTTCCTTTTGTCCACCCACAGGACTGTGATTTGTCTCTTCTCTTTAAGACCATTTGTATTATGATGCTAAGATATCGCTTCACCTGCTGGATTTCCCCCCATCCCACTTACACAGTAACTCCACCCCCCCTCCCAGAGCATCCCCTGACCTTCAACCTTCTTCCCTCAGTAAGACTTCAGCCTGGACACTGAGATCTGGCTCCAAGGGCCTTCTGGTGGTTCCCTCACTGCAAGAAGTGAGGTTAAAGGCTCCCTGGATTCTTCAGCTATCTCTAATCCCCCTCTTCTGCTTCAGCTTCAGCCTCAGAGTCTGAACTGCTCCCTCTCACAGGCTCTTCCTGCTCACTAAACCCTGTTGCCCCTTCAGCATCCAGGCCTTCCTTCCAATCCTCTCCCCCGACCTCTCCTTGGTGTCCCACCACCAATCCCTGGGCTCTGAGCCTTCCTCCTCTGGGGTTTGTCTTGGAGGGAGGGTTCCTCAGCTGGTGCCTCCCACCATTCCTCCTCATCCAGCCAGTCCCTGACAGGTAGGGGGACAGGCTTCGTTTCCTGTTCTGAGAGTGTAGTATTAACCCTGGCAAAATATATGAATCAGAGCTTTTTATATAGTTGTGTGTCTGTGTATGTGGACTGCCTGGCTGCCCCTCTCCTGCCACAAGTTCGATGTAGCCAGTAGCGTTAGCTTTGCCATTAAATTCTCTTTGTTTTCTCCCCACCTCCTCTTTCCCTTTGCTCTCCTGCAGGCTTCAGGGGCAAAGACCATCCGGCGACTCCCGGGCGAAAGCAACGCCGACTCCCGCCGTACCTCCCTTGCGGAGCAGTCCGAGGAAAACCCCCCGCCCCCCACCTTGGAGTCCCAGCCTCCCCCCGCGAAACCTCAGTGCTTCCCCCAAGAGCCAATCACTGTCCAGAAAAGAAAGCTCATCGCCCTCCCGCCAACATAGGTCAGGTACCACGTTCCCTCCGTGGGTGCAACCTTCTTCCAGGGCTCCCTCCAGAGCTCAGGCAGGTGGGCTGCTGGGAGACGCCCCGGCGTCCCCCAGTGCAACCCGGAAAGGACCGAGAGGGAAAGCCCAAACTCAAATTCCAGCAACCAAAGGAAGGCAAGTATCCCAGGAAGGCAAGGCTACTGCTAGATAATGATCTGCTGCTGCCAAACCATTTTTGACCAACCGACCTACCATCTCGCCAGGCTGGAGAAACCTCTGCGTATGCTATACACTCAAGACGCCGCAGCACAGCCTTACACCGTGTCGGAAATACAAGCATATAGCAGCTAGCTCGACTTCAGTGCTTCACTTAACCCACAAGCTCACGCTGTCTCAATCCAGCTCTTTAACCTGGCTGGGGCCTCCCCGGCCAGCTCATGCTTGCTTGCTATTGCCCAGCCACCAAGCAGCGACTCGGGCAGCCTGCCCCTGTGCCTGACCCTCCTTCCTCTCACGCCGTCTTTTCCTCCCGCACCCCCTTTCTTGGTTAGCAATACCACCGTCTCCTTCGCGGAGCCCTGACACTTGGGTAGGGGGAGGCGGCTTTTTTTTATAACGCACCGGCCAAAATCAGAGGAGAGGTGAAAGGGCTGCGCCTCACCTGGAAGAAGAGTCTTGGTGTGAACTTCTAAATGGTCAGGTCAATCCAATGCCCTTGCCTCCCTCACCGCCCTACTGCCCTGCCCTTCGCCACCCCAACCTGCCACCCCCGGGCCGTCTTCGGGGCAGCTCCGGCCGTGCTGCCTGTCCACTCTCCCGTAGTATTTTGACCCCGAGCACTGATGGAACAAAAGTCACAACCAGACTCCTCGGTGGCTTCCTTGCCTGCAGTGTCAAGCAAGGGGAATGTATGACTGTAACTGCTAGCCAGAAGGAGGAGAGCTGCGTGTTGCTTCTGGCGTATATAGGGCCTCTCTGTTGGCTGGCCTGAGGAGCTCGTTACTGGCGAAACGATGAGCATGTTAAGGCAGGGGTAGCTCCTCCCCCCCTACAAGCATGCAGCTGCTCCAGTGTCTTGTGAAGGGGAGGGACCTTAGTCCTGATTTGTTCAAGCGATGCACCTGTAAGTTACCTGTCCACCGGGAGGTTGTATTGTGGGCAAAGGCTTCCCAGGGACCCATTAGCTGGTCTCTTTCTTGGCAGAAATGGTAAAGACAAAACAACCTCTTAGCCCCGAAGTATGATCTGTGGCCATCGCATGGTTCCAGCACGCAGGGTTTCCTCCGAATCCAAACGCAAGGAATCTATGAATCGGTCACTGCCTCTTGCTCTGGGACTTTGTCTCCGTGCTGGACATGCAGGCGGCCACAGATTTATTTATTTTTGAAATAGGCTTCTTATCCCCAAATGCCCTATACCGGCGGTATCTGCTTGCTTCTGAAGCACAGCTGTGAGACCTTAACTACAGTACTTACTGCTTGGTCCGTGTGACAGTAGCTGGTTTTCGGGGTTGGTGCTTGCTGACAAATCAGTATCTTGACAAACAGTATCGTTTGGGGAGGTCAGTTTCGCAGCATCCTTCTCACCTTGCTCTCCCACGTGGGAGATGATTTCGTTTGCCAGTGGGGTTAGGGAAAGGGCATTCTCTATAGCGGCTTACCTCTAAGGGCCCAGCTTTTGGGAATGTAGGACAGGAGCACAAAACAACCAGCCAATAACATCCTGCAATTTGCCCCAAAAACCTTGAGAAAGCGAAAGGAGCCTAGCCATGTGGCAACAGCTTTGGGATGAGGTGGGAAACCAGAGGCCCTCCAGATGTTGCTGAACTCCAACTCCCATGATCCCCAACCACTGGCCATGCTGGCTGAGGCTGATGGGAGCTGGAGTCCCAACAACATATGGAGGGCCACAGGTTCTTCATCCCTGGCCTTCAGACTGCATGAAATGGAAGGCCTGAGCTGAGGAATTAATCGGGTGTTAGGTCCCAGTTATCCTTTACCTCTGCAACTGATAGGCAAGGGTGTATGAAGAGTAAAGGGAGCCTGGCCTCCTCACTTATCTATTTGTGCAGATGCTTGCTGAGCTAAATTTCGTAAGCTGACTTCGGGAGAAGAAGATTCCTGGTGCTATACTTTATCTGGGAGACGTGTCCCCCGTTGTTCCTTTACCCAGTAGGGATCGGGGACTCAGTGGCCAGAGGCAAATCTTTGGTAGCTATTTTGTCAAGATTGCCCATGCATGTCAACATGCCACTGGAGGGTTGGTGGCTGTCTTTTTAAAAAAAGTATATACCTTATTAAGGAGATGGAATTTGTTCACAGATAAAAGCGCTGGCATCCCTTTGCAGTTTGTCCAGCAGAGGGAAACCAAGGGCATGCAACAGTATGACTGTCATTCAAAGAACCGTGGGATTTGTGGTCCTGGGAGAGGCCTCAGGTCTGCATCTGAATTCTAGGAAAAGGACGGGAGCCATAAAGACAAACTTATTTGTTTGGGACTATAGATGTGGTCTTAGCAAAGATTACCCAACAGCCCCGATTGGGCTTGCACAGCTTGGAGAGTTGCAGCATGTCTCTTGGAGTAATGGGGATGCAGAGGGGTTTCGAGAGCAAACGCCACATTTTCCCGGGATTTATCTCCCATGTTTTCATGCAGTCCCCACTACTACCACTGAACTACCCATTCTGTGGTTTCAGGACTCTCTAGTGTGCATGAGATCCCCTCCTTCCTTCCTGTTACAGGTTCTCCAGTATCAGTAGCTTCCCATGCATCTTTCAGGTACAATTTTGAAGTTTTCTGTTTCAACACTGGCAAAAATAAGCACCTATCTTTAAAGCATGCACTCTCCCTGCCCTCCTCATCCCATGTTGACCATCCTCCCATCGTTGTGAGAAGGGCAACTCCTTCTCCCACGTGGATAGCTATTTTGGCATGGCAGGCAGATCTGTGGAGGTAGGTTGAGACAGCGGTTCCCTATATATCCCTTTCGGAGCACATGCCAACTGCCAAGAGGTCAGGAGCTGAAGGCTCAGTATGTCCTAGAGAATTCACTACAGAGCTGCAGGTACCATCAAGTGACATTGAATTAATGGTGGCTGTTCCATGTAGCCACTGTGTTTGAAACAGCCGAGTGAACTGGTCTGTAGTGGACCCCTTCTTGCAAAGGCTTCCTTCTTCCCAGGACTGAGCATTCAGAAAGAAATACAGAAGAAGGACATGGGGGGGGGGGCGAGAATCAAACTAAGTGCAGGTTCTGTCATTTTAGAATTGTTTTGTTGTCAGTGCCAGCCCAAGACTTCTTGCTGCCTGCTGGAGAGCGCCAAATGGTGTCCCACAACCACCGCCATGTTGTGGCAAGCACACACACACACACACACACACACACACACAGTATTGTCACAGCATTCGGACATCAATTCCTTCTAAATCCTCCTGAAATAACCTGGTTCATTTTGCTGCCCTTTAGTAGGTCAAGCCCAGTGAGACCTGCAGTGTGCATTGTTTTTGAACAATAACCCGGAACGGAGGGATTTGAGTCTCTGTGCCATTCATTTGGGGCAGGTCGTTCATCATGGCTCTCTATTCTGAGTTGGATGCCCTTTGCTTGTTTGTTTGTTTATTATTTATTCACTGAGTTTATATACCACCCTTCATCAAGAGATCCCAGGGCGATTCACAGAATGAAATACAAGATAAAACACAAGTAAAGAATTAATCCAAAATCAAAACAATAGCCCCCGCCCGTGTTTTTCTGACACCTTTTTTCTCAGCCCTGCCTTGTGCTTTGTTCTGTCCTTGCCCAGACTTCACATCCTCCTCTCTACTCCCTCAAGCAAACCACATCATGCATTTCCATTGGGACAAGTTTCTCCCTTGATGAGCTCCCTGAAGTTTCTGTCCTATTTCCACTTGATTCTGCTCTTCCCCAGCATATGTGTCCTCCTGATTCATTTTGTCCATCGGCTTTTCTGGACTACCATCAGCTGACTCGTAGTTTTCCACCTTTCCTCTTTCCCCTTCCATTGCTTAGGAGAGTCCGCTCTTGAACGGTGTTTTTCTTGACTTTTTGACCTGTTTTCACACAACGTCTGATGCTCTGGGGTCTCCAGACCGAGGCAAGTTCCAAAGGGCACCCCAGAGACTGGGCCATCATGCTCTCACGTCTGACATGAGGGCAAGCTCTTGGCCAGTGTCAGGGCAGAGCTGTGGGCTGACAGGAGTGTCCATCACACTGGAGACCAGTGGTACAGTACATATCTTGCATGCAGAATGCCCCATCTTAAACCCTTGGCATCTATAGTCGAGAAGATCAGGTAGCAGGAGATAGCAAAGACCTATCCCTGAGACCCTGGAGGCCCACTGCCAGTCACAGTGCTAGGCTAGATGGAGAAATAACCTGGCTATGTCCCTCGTGGTCAAAGGGAAATAGGGTGAAGAAAGGAATGTGGAGACCAAGAGGGATAGGCATGGAGGCATGGATGTGTGGATACTTGAAATGCACACAGTGGTCTATTTCTCTGCAATAGCCAGGCGTGATAGCTGGGAACCAATGGCACGGGTTTGCAGAACTTCACATAGCCTGCAGCTTAAGCCTCAGCCTGTAAATGCAAGTCAGAAGCCTTGCAAGGCATCCAGATGCCTAACTCACTGCATGCCAGTGTCTGCATAGGTCTGTTTAGTCTTTGGTTCTGAAGATCCCAATCCTTGGAATTTCATCCATGCGGCAAGTTTCCTTTGATTATACACATACCCTTGTGATGAAATGAGTGCATCTATCTCTTCTGCATCTACACTGAGCAGGGCTGAGTGTCTTCTAAGCTGCCAATAAAAGCCGAATTCTGCGACCTGTATAAATTTTGCAACTTAAGCACGTTTGCAAGTTTTGGCTTATTTTGCGTACATCATTCTGCCTCTACTAACCCTAGGAATGGTTAAGGCACTGAAGCCCCACCTCTTGACCACTGCAAATCCTCCAGAGCTCTCTGGCTTTGAGGATCATATTAGATGTTGCTCACATGCTTGGACCAGAAGCTTTTCAAAAACCATAGGATGCTACATTTGGTGCCCAATACCAGATTCTCTGGATTTTTTGTGTGTTTGTGCAGGATTGTAGAACACATAACCCTGCCTTAAACCATCAGGACCGTATCAGTTGAGCGGCACCAATTTGAATCCAAAGCTGTCTAGACTGCTCTGTTGCCCTGGAATTATATGGGATGCTTCTGCATAAACTGGGAATCTTATTTGGTCATCTGTTTGGGACGGGGAAAGATTGCCTGTAGCATTATATATGAAGCAGCCCTTAGAACAGGAGTTCCTTTGGCTCTCAACAAATGGTGAAAATTCATCACAATATTTTATTCCTCAGTTGAGATTTGTTGAGATTTGCAAAGCACTTTAGAGACCTTTGACTGTCCCACAAAATGTAACTGTCGTCAGCCAAAGGTTATCTCATGATTCAAATTCTTTTCCAGCCTGTTTTATGGCATTCCTCTTCACACCCGCTGCTTCACATCAAACTCTGCATTTATTTTTCTTAGCCCCCAAAGGGAATATGCCATTACTGGTATTTCTCAGCCCCCCCACTAGCTAGGCAATGCAATTTCCACCCCACCCGCTCCTCACTTTACTTTGTTTCCCTTTTCTGCTTTTGTGTCAAGGGTCAGAGTTGAAATTGGCACCATTTTGGAGGGCCTGGCTGGAACCGAAACAGCGCTTTTGGCTTCCAGGTTTGGGTGGCAAGTAGGCATGTGTATGTGGGCAATCCGCACGCAACTTTTGCTCCTTTTCCAACTCCAGTGAGACTCCTCTGTCTCTTCCATCCCACAAGGCTATCATCTGATAATCTCTGTCTTCTTTTGTAAAAGAGCGTAGTCCCATGTAATTTTATCAGGCAATACGAGATGAGCAGGCCTATTGTAGTACCGCTCTTCACTCTGAAATGTAATATTTCAAATATCAGTATGTATATATTTAGCAAGGTTGGAAAGCAAGACAGCTTTCGTCTGCCATCCAAAGAGCATCAGTATTGGGCAAAGAAATGGGTACACGCCATCCATGCCTACCGTAGCAAAAAAGAGAGGACCCTATAAATACCACAAAGGGTTAAGGGATTGTTGGTACAAGGGGTTTAGCTGCTTTTCCTTGTGGTTGTGCATCAGTACGCCCTGAATGAACATGCATTAAAGAACAGGGCCCTCATTGAGCCAAATATGGAAATGGAGACACAGTTTGTTTTCTTGAGAAGGAAGCCAAAGGGAGTAGCACTGATAGTCATCTGTTACGGCAGAGGAAGCTGTGGATTGTCCCTGGTCTAATAGGATTTGTTCCAGGGTTCTAAATAGCTTCTCTATGAAAGCTCTCCAAAACGCCGTGGCAAGAATGTCGTCTCTTGGATGCTAGTCAGCGACTGCATACTATGTATATTCATGTTTTATTAAAAGCAAGCCTAAACGCAGGTTCAAAAGAGGACGTCGGCCATTCTTCTTCCTAGGAGTACAGACTGTTTTGATGCATGCGCTTCATTATCCCTTCCTATCATGAAGCCCACTCATTTTGTGTCCTCCCAAAGGCTTTCTTATTACATCGCCTTTTTGGCATTTTGACTTTAACTGGTGAACACACCCGACACAAGTCTTTTTGCCCAGTCTCATAGCTTGTGTCAATCTCGTAGCCTGGTCAATCGGATAAACGGTTCTTTGAGCATCATGGCAGAAAGCACACTCAGACTTGCTATAGGTTCTGCGCTTCTGGTGCAACGGCACAAGTTAGGGACAGCAATATGTGTTTTATGTCGAACATGAGTGTTGGCCTGCATTTCCGGCCCCCTTCCTGATGCTATACTCTTTTATTACTCTTATGATAAACAGCTAATATAAAAACATAACGAGAGACCTGCTGTGATCCTGTTCTCACAGTGGCCAACCTGGGACCTAGGCAAGGCTCGCAAGTAGGACCTGAGTGTGACAGCAGCACTCTCCTTTCTTGTGATTTATAGTAAATGGTATACAGATTCATACCAGAAAGGAAACCGGAATATTTATTAGGCTTGGTTACTAAATGTGCCTGCCATTGACTCAACACTCCTGTCCTCACAAGTTAGCAGTGCTCTCCTATACATAGTTTTTTTGTTCATTTGTTTGCTGGTTTAATGAATATATGACCACCCCCTATTGGGGGGGGGGAGTCCTCACTCACAAGGTGGCGTTTCATTAAAGCGTTAAAAATGAAACAACTGAACAAACACAATGGAAGCAAAATCAGATCAACGACATAAAGGGGCTCAGCAGTAAGGTCAAGAAAAAAGCTCGGCGAAAAAGGAAAGTCCTTTGGGGCCACTCAAAGGTCAGAAGAGAGTGGGGCCAATCAGAATTCCCTAGAGGGGGAATTCTGCAAGTATGAGGCCACCACTGAAAAGGCCCTGCCCCAAGGACCCATGGACATGATCAAACCAAGTTCTTCTACACATTACCCATCTCCCCACTACTCTAGCCTCCAAAAAGCACTTCACCTACTCCCACCATGCTTTTTCTTATCTTTCATCAGCAGTGGCCACAGGAGCAGTGGAGACACAGAGGCAAGATTGCCGCTGCAGCACCCTTTATAGAACTACATCTCCCCCATCACCCCATTTTTCCTACATGCTGTTTACCTAGCACATCCGAGTGACCGAGGGGAGGGAGGAGAGCACCTACCTTCTCTTGATACATATCTTCACCGCAGTCATGACCACATAGAGGGGGAAAGTGAGTGTATTCTAGTATATAGGAGGGATAGCTTTGGGGAGTGGCGAACGCTTGCACAGATTGCCAGCAGGGCTGGGAGTTGGCAGGAAATCCTTTGGCACAGATTTCGTTTTGAGACATACAAATCTGGGGGCTTCCCTCTCATTTGAGAGGGGTGGAATTCTGTTTTCGAGAGTGTCCTCCGGAAGCCTTGGACTACAATTTCCACCAGCTGCAGGACACACTGCTGATGGGAAATGTAGTCCAAAACTCCTGGAGGGCACCAGGTTGGCAAAGGCTGCTTTGCATAGGCAACCTCCCTGTCCTAGTGCCATCTCAGCAGCGCCAGGAGTGTAGCAATCTCTTTGGTGGTACCCATATAACTCTGCCCAGTGTTTGTCATCATCATCTCTAATTTGTAAAGCATCCAAAATGACGAAGGGGTTCACCATTTAAAATGAATGGATTTCATAGGGTAGGAAAACATAAGGAAGTGGGAAAGAAGCCAAAGAAGGGATGGCAAATGATTACTAACTGATGCACACCATACATTTGAAGCACATGACTCTATTTCCCACCCAGCCCCCCCAAAAAAATATTCTGGGAATTGTGGTCTCCCTCTGGCACAGCTACAGAGTCCCAGTACCCTTAACATACTACAATTCCCATAATTCTTTGGGTGAAGCCGTGTGCTTTAAAAGTGCATTGGATGTGCTTCTAAGTGTATGATGTGGTTCTGAACAGCATAAGCTGGAAGAAACTGCTATACAGAGTTTTAAAAAGAAAACATAGCTTTTAAGGGCCAACCTGCACATGATGCCAGGAGATCTGTGCTGGATTTCCTGCCCCTTGTACTTTCGAAAACCAACAAAAATTTCCAGGCTTGGAATTTGATTGCAGACCTGACGGTGGGGCACAGCTTTTCCCCTGTGGGCAGTTTCTGCCATTAAAACTTCACGGGGATCTATGTTTCTCTCCCTTTGGGTTAGGAAACAACTTGTGGGGACTTTGCTTGCAAAAAAACAGCGCACCAGGAAAGTGTTAAGCATCTCCTCCACCAGCACTGTGGGTGCAATCAAATGTGTAGCTCCCCCCCACCTTTTCATTTATATATATAAAAAACACACCACACCAGGATGTCTGTGTCACATGTAACTTAGCCTCTAAGGGGGAAGTGAGAAACAAGTTCCAGAAGCAACCAGAGCAAATTATTGAAAATGGGACGGGATGGGAAGACACCAAGCTTTGTTGCAAGATTAGATTGAGCAAAACAGATTAAGAAGGCGCATGAGGATGAATCTATGAGAAGGAGCGGGAAACTGCAAGGTGGTGGAGTGGCAAGACCAACACCCTCTGCTGGAAGCTGTCAAGGGTCTTCTTGCTGGTTTGTGGAGGCAACACAACTGTGCTATCTACCCATTTCTCTCTCCACCCCTTGGGCTCTAGCCCAGTAGCAGAACATCTGCTTTGCATGCAGAAGGTCTCAGGTTCAATCCCTAGCATCGCCAGGTAGGACTGTGAGAGACTCCCAGTATGAAACCCTAGAGAGCTGCTGCTGGTCAGGGTAGACTATCCTGAATGAGATGGAGCAGGGGTCAGACTCTGTGCTTCCAATGTTTCTAAGCGAGTCCGTGTGGTGTCTCTACTTGAACTAAGGGTAGCCAACATGGTGCCTTTGCAAAGTTGCTGGACTCCCAACTCCCATAATTCCTCACCATTGGCCATGCTGGCTGGGGCAGGTGGGGTTGCAGTCCCAGCACAATGTTGGCTACCTGGTGGGTGAACCTGGGGTCAAACGTGGCCCTCTGGGCCTCTCTGGATCCTGAGACCTTCCCCATGCCGCACATTCTCCAGCCATTCCCCTTCTCTCCAAGACTCGGCCTTTGGTGGCCCTGCTACACACCTTCCTTGAGTATTTTTGCCTAGCTGGAATGTGCCCCTGAACTCTGATCATGCCTCTTGCAAATGTGGATGGGGGAAATAGGGGTGTGCAAAAACTAGCCTTCCATATAAAGGTAAAAAAAAATGTATCTGCTGCTGTCTACTTTTGTCTCAGACTCCCATCTGCCTATGAGGTTCTGGATGCGTGCAAGATTTTGGCACTTCCAGACAGTGGCATAGCGTGGGGGTGCAGGGGGGGCCGGCCGCACCAGGCGCAACATCTGGGGGGCGCGCACTCGCACTCGCAGCTCTCTGCCCCTACTAAAATCCATGGGTTAGGGGGCGCAAATTACTTGCCTTGCCCCGGGTGCTGACAACCCACGCTACGCCACTGCTTCCAGAGCTCTTCCCTTTTGGCAGGAAAAAGTAGCGTAGGACTGAATATGAATTTAAATACAGATGGTCTAGCATTGTTTCAGGCAGTATATTGCTCCCCCTCTGATTTTATCCTCCTCCGTTGGCAGGCTGTGAACTTGGGGTGTTTCCAAGGCAGATGATTCAGGCTGAGCAGGATGGTAATCTGGGGAGGTCAAACTTGATTTCACACTAATGTATAACCTCATCTCGTCCCCTGCCCCCGCCCCCGTGTGCATTGTGACATCATGTCTCCCTCCCACCAATAGTGTGGTGGATGGGAAGGGCAACAGAATGGTGTGATGTCATCATGACCCGTGGGAAGGTTGACCAGGAAATTATGGCGGCAGAGCTGGGAGTGGAGCCACCATTTACTGTAACTTCTAAGCTGGGCCCTGGAAACGTATCGAAAGATTGTTCCTATATAATGCGCAGAGGAAGCTGTAAATATGAGAAAAGGGTTTTTTTGGATCAACTAATGCGAAGCAAACTCATTCCTGCACTTGCACTAACGTTGCTGTGTTTGTGATTCTACTATGCACTTCGAGACACAAAACCTTCGTCTGAGAGATCACACGCCCCTCAGTCGCCAGGGCTGGGAAGAACTTGCTGATCTAGGTGGCAGATTTCCTGCAAACAGGGGGGGAGGTGGGAGGGGAGGGGAGGGATCGACAGGGACCATAAAGTGCTTCCTGGGAGATTATGTGCTTTTTGAAAATGAGATGTTCAATTGGAGCATGGGTGCACCTTTGCCAATCCACACAGGCCAGGCTCAGCTCTTGAGCGGCTGCAAAACGCTCCACCTTGAATTGTCAGCCAAGAGGCGAAAGATGGCATGAATCATCCCTTCCGAAAGATGCAAGAGCAGGATGTGATATGTATGTAACATGTAAAGGGCACTGTGCTGTGCAATGTAACTTGTGTGGCTATTTCTTTGGACTGAAACTGCAACTGTAATGCAGGTATCTTTGCATTGGTAATGGATGCTCAGGCTTGCTTTCTAAATGGCCAGAGTCCTGTCAAGGAGCAGCTGTGTGTTAAGACCGTCTCCCACTCCACCAAGCAGGCTCTTCTGGTTTGGAGACAGGACTTCCGTCGTCTGGTATCATGTACTTAAAACATGGCCAGGCTCCAAAGTAAAAAAAAACAAAACGAAAAAGCCCCTCTCGGCATATCTCCTTCACATTCTTTTAGGAAAGCAGCTCTAGAATGTTTTACACATTGCAACTAGAATGTACAATTGCAAACAAGGAAATAAAAACAAAAACCTGATTTAAACTGCATGGCACATTTCTCAGCCACCAAAGCCTGGCATGCAATCACAGAGAAGCTATAATCTGTGTACAGATCCACCTGGCATTTTCATAACTCCAGATGATGACTTTAAAATAAAACAAACAAACAAATAAGAGGGGATGTCTTGTTTGTATGAGAACCGGCAGTCCTAGTGGCTTTGTTCTTCCAAGGGAACTCTGGGTCGTGCCATTAAAAAGCTTGCATATCTTTTTGCTGATGTGTATTTCCCTGTTTGCTTAATGAACAGCCAACAAGCGAAGGCCATCAAAATGGCAGACGGGAGTCACTTCCGGTACTTTCTCAAGGTTACACCACAGAAGTGTTGGAAGTGGGGTCAGTGCGATCCCTTGTGCTGTCTATCAGAACAAAGCACATTCGGGCATCAGTTCTGGTAAGGGGTTGTAGGGCTCAGAGGGTTGAAGGCCCAGGAGATAACAATGAGACCTACCTTCACAGAGTTGTCTGGATGGGAGACCAGCTGTTCTGCTCTCTTCAGAGGACAAGGAAGATACAGCAGCTGAAAACGTGGACAAACCCAATCACTGGCTCTAATTGGAGGGGGTGGGTATGACGGGCAAACTCTTGACTCTTCGGGGCCAAAGTAGACATGATGGCGAATGTGTTATTTGCTGCTGAGAGCAGCCATCTTGTATCTCTGGGAGGGAGGGACTGCATCCCCAGGGAACAACCCCTAACACCTCTCTGGCCTTGAGTGTGTTTGTCTGGCTGAAAGTACAACAACAACAACATATTATTTATACCCTGCCCATCTGTCTGGGCTTCCCCAGCCACTCTGGGTGGCTTCCAACAAAATATTAAAATACAGCAATGCATCAAACATTAGAAGCTTCCCTAAACAGGGCTGCCTTCAGATGTCTTCTAAAAGTCTGGTAGTTGTTGTTCTCTTTGACATCTGGTGGGATGTCCACAGGGTGGGCGCCACTACCGAGAAGGCCCTCTGCCTGGTTCCCTGTGACTTGGCTTCTCGCAGTGAGGGAACCGCCAGAAGGCCCTCGGCACTGGACCTCGGTGTCCGGGTTAGAACGATGGGGTGGAGACGCTCCTTCAGATATACTGGTACTCTGATCATGCCTGGATATAGGATAGAGAAGGTTGTGTGGGTGTAATAGAAGCTAGCCTACTGTACGTACAAAGGTGATGTTTGCATTACAGTGGTGCCTCGCAAGACGAAATTAATTCATTCCGCAAGTCTCTTCGTCTTGCGAGTTTTTCGTCTTGCGATGCACGGTTTCCCATAGGAATGCATTGAAAATCAATTAATGCGTTCCTAGGGAAACCGCCTTCAGACCAGGTCCGGGGACAGTCTGTCCCCCGACCTCTTCTGAAGGCTGGGGGGGGGCAAGGGCCTTTCTTCCCACCCCCAGCATTTTAAAAAACCCCGGGACAGCGGAGGACGTCTCCGCTGTCCGGGGCGATTTAAAAGCCCCTGGGAAGGCAGGCAGGGGGGGACAAAGACTTTTGCCCCCGCCTGCCTTCAGAAGAGGTCCAGGACCTTGTTCCGATGCCAGGCGGCGGGGGGAGGCGTTCCCGCCCTGCCGCCCGGCATCGGGGCATCGTTCCGATGCCGGGCGGCGGGGTGAGAGGTTCCCGCCCCACCGCCCGGCATCGGGGCATCGTTCCGATGCCGGGCGGCGGGGTGAGAGGTTCCCGCCCGCCGCCCGGCATCGGGGCATCGTTCCGATGCCGGGCGGCGGGGTGAGAGGTTCCCGCCCCGCCGCCCGGCATCGGGGCATCGTTCCGATGCCGGGCGGCGGGGTGAGAGGTTCCCGCCCCGCCGCCCGGCATCGGGGCATCGTTCCGATGCCGGGCGGCGGGGGGAGAGGTTCCCGCCCCGCCGCCCGGCATCGGGGCATCGTTCCGATGCTGGGCGGCGGGGGGAGAGGTTCCCGCCCCGCCGCCCGGCATCGGGGCATCGTTCCGATGCCCGGCGGCGGCGAGAGGAGGTGTCCCCGCCCCGCCGCCAGGCTT